ATCCATGCTGAGATTCCCGAGATAAGTGAAGCGGTCTACACGTTCGACTACTTCACTCCCTATCACTAGTTCAAATTTCGATGCAAGCCGATCTTGAAGCAACATTTTGCTTCTCATACCAAACATGCTTGCATTGTTACTTAGGGTAGTCAGAAGACTCCGCATTTTGTCAGCATCTTCACCGAATGCGATTATGTCATCAGCATACTCTCTTGGTAAAAGGTTCACTCCTGAAAAGTCGGACGATGATAATGTTAACTCTAAGAGCATACCTATAACAAAGTTAAACAAGAATGGAGAGAGTGGACATCCCTGACGGACACCACTTGAAGTAAAGAATTCCGTTGACAGTTCGCCATAAGCTCGCACTCGACCAGTAGTGTTCGAGTAGAGAGCCGGTATAAGGTTAATGTTACTTCTTTGGTATACCTTTCAATGACAAACTAGGTCCCATAGTTATAAGTCAACAACTACTATTCTTGTCTTATAATAGACAAGAATAGTTTGCAGTTGAATTAATCCATTTTATAAACCGTAAATTTCACATCGATTCAGCCTGAAATACCATAAATTGCATGTAAAGCAATCAAGGTCATACATAAAAACTGAGAAAGATTATTAACCTTAATTAAGGTAATGTGTACTAATCAATGAGATAAAATTGTAAGTAAGTTACAAAGAAATCAAAAGTTTTCATTATGTGGTTGTGGAAATTGATGAGGCTCATTGAAATCATGAATCAATGAATGTTAGACCACCATTAGCAATCGACAGTGGTTTTGTCCTAGTATACAACTCATCGGCAATGCCCGCATGAATCCAATCCATGACGTTTGGTCTCTCTCGCAAACTGAGCTGTGGTAATGTCTAACTTCATTCAATTCACGCTATTTAACAACCTTATTCAGTGTCTTCAATAGTTACTGTCTCGTATCCGATGCGGTTGAACTGCCTACGAATCTAGTCACTAGTGAGCACATGATAAGTTTTCTTAAAATAGAGTTGTACACTATTGATGAGTCCCACACTACAAACTTGACGATCATCCAGTGCTTCCATGTTTTCATAATGATGATCCAACATTGATCAATGCACTATAAGTAACGCGACAATCTCCATTACCTTACAAATGCGAAACTGTGTGTTTAGTTGACAAAATCATACTTCTCGTTAAAAATTGATTATATTTTCCACCTTTTTTTGACATTTTCCGATGGTTAGGCGTTCGCGCACAATACCGAAGGTCCTGGGTTTGAATCCTTTGAGGAGCAGGAGTCGTGGATGTGCACTGCTAATGAGTCAGTCCCATACCAGAATGAAACGGCCGTCCTTCAGTGCTTCCAGGTTTCAAATGGTGGTCTAACAATGATTGATTGATTGATGATTTCAAATGTGTAAAAACAAACACAAAACTCCAAAACTCAGCCCCAAAATTTTCAATAAATTATCACCTTATAATATCGATTTACAATCATTGTTATAATAAATAATTAGGTGTGTTCAATAATAATAGACGGTCAATTAAGTCAATGTTTATTTTTCTTTTAATAACAAGTATGAACATCAAGTTTTTTTTTAGTACAAAAAATTAAACAATACCTGATTAAAATATTTCATCAACATAGTAATTATTATCAATAATGACTCTGTGCTGCAATTAATTGTTTACAATAATAAATAAGACAATAAAGGGTTTACTTAACTTTAGTATAGGCAACGAAGAAATACAAATTACATGTTTGTAATCAATAAACAGAAATGCAAAATACACACATATATATATGTAATTTTGAACAAATTGTTTGTCCTGTTGAAAAAAAATAGACTGAACATACACACACACACCTTTTAATTGATTGAAATCAATCGATAAGAATAGATTGTAGGCATTCAACTAATATTATCATTTGCATTACGGGGTTGTGAAGATTGTTAAGTTACGCATTTTTGAAACCATGAATCGATCAATGTTAGACCACCATTAGAAACGGCCGTTTTGCCCTGCTATGGGACTCCTCAGCAGTTCGCATCCACGACTCCTACACCCCACAGGATTCGAATCCAGGACCTACGGTATTGTAGGCGAACGCCTAACCATTGGACCACTGAGCCGGTACCTAGCGGTGTGAATGTCTAACTTGATCAATTCACGGAGTTGAGCAACCGCATACACAGTCTTCGGTAGTTACTGTCTACACACGAACAGGTTGAACTTCACTGGTCACGTCTTCCCACTAGAACTCGGAGAAGATTCCTCATGAGGCTAGTCACTAGTGAGCACAGGTAAATTGCATTACGGGGTTGTGAAGATTGTTAAGTTACACATTTTTGAAACCATGAATCAATCAATGTTAGACCACCATGATTAATAGTTTCTGTAAAATAAAATGAGATTACTATTAAAATTTAATCATATTTTACACTTAAGAGCTTATAGCACTTCACATACATTCGAGTTTGTTTACATTTGACTTGGTTAAACCATTTTGATTAACTTACTTTAATTGAGAGTCATCGATCTAAACCACTATACTTTTGTTGAGCTTGTATTCGCATGTATACTTGAGCATTGCTTACCGCCATTGCATAAACGGGGTTGACTTAAGTATGAGGCTTGGAATCGGAAAGGAAAATTTATCTCATCGCATATTCAATCATTCATCCAAACTGGATCCGAAGCTTTTTGGGGCACAGTTTTGGAGGTTTGCGTTTTTACACATTTGAAATCATCAATCAATCAATCATTGTTAGACCACCATTAGAAACCTGGAAGCACTGGACGGCCGTTTCGTCCTGGTATGGGACTCATCAGCAGTGCACATCCACGACTCCTGCTCCTCACAGGATTCGAACCCGGGACCTTTGGCATTGTAGGCGAACGCCTTAACATCGGACCACTGGGCCGGCATCCAAAGGTGTTAATGTCTAACTCTGATTGATCTAGGGATTTTGCGCGACCTCACCCATTTGTCTTTGGTAGTTACTGCCTACACCCGACAGGGTTCAACTCCATTGGTCAAGTCTTCTCAACTAGAACTCCGAGAATTTCCTCACGAAGCTAGTCACTAGTGAGCACTGTTACGATATTTTGAGGCACAGTTTTGGAGGTTTGCGTTTTTACACATTTGAAATCATCAATCAATCATTGTTAGACCACCATTAGAAACCTGGTAGCACTGGACAGCCGTTTGATGTGTAAAAACGCACTGCTGATGAGTCCCATACAAGGGCGAAACGGCCGTCCAGTGCTTCCAAGTTTCTAATGGTGGTCTAACAATGATTGATTGATGATTTCAAATGTGGAACCGAATCGCTGGCCACTGGAAACCTCACTAGTACTAACTTTAAATATAAACGATACTGATAAGTATGAAATGCAAGATAGCAAGTTATTTCTGAATATGTAATTACATATCTTAAGGGCTGATAGGCTGAGCTAACTAGAATATATCACATGACGTTTTAAAAGTCAGCCAGTAGGTGGATGTTTTGTCTGAAGATCGAAGAGGCAGTGAAGCAGTATAAACAAGATATGGTATTGGAAAGTTCTAGACTATCGATCCCTATTTGAATTAAAGTCCATTTATCGATCAAATTTTATTTGTATAGTAGGTTTGGTGCTGTGTACAGATGTGTATAATCCAAATAAATCCGATAGCATGAAACAACAAAAGTAACAATACTTCTTTACCTTACTGCTTGAGCCAATCAGATGATGGATGATTGTGGAAAATGAGTGGAGCTACTTAAAAGTAATATTAATTTTATCAGATTGATGAATTTATCTAATTTGGTTTATATACCTTCGCCAATTCGAAATTGATGATTAGTTTATGCAAACTATCCTAACACACTAAACCTTTCTGCCCTTTAATCAGACATCATACTCTTTCTTGACTAATCATTCTAAATGAAGCCTCAATATATAACTTTTAAACTTTGATTTCAGCTTAATGCTAAACATAACTTCAAATCCTAATCTTCACAAACATTGATGTGAAATTATTATTCTAGTTTGCATTTCGTTAGCCTCATTCACAAACTTATTTTATTCCAACATGTTCAAGTGATAGAAAGTGAAGTAGTCGAACATGTAGACCGCTTCACTTATCTCGGCAGTCTCATCAGTGTTGATGGGCTGGTGACTGATGAAATCTCTGCACGGATACAGAAAACCCGATTGGCTTTCGTCAACTTGAGTCACCTATGGCGTAGGCGAGATATTCGTTTGCTGACTAAAGGACGAGTGTACTGAGCAGCAGTTCGTTCCGTTCTCCTACCTGGACGCGAAACATGACCAGTCAGGGTAGAGGATATTAGTAGGCAATTAGTATTCGATTATAGATGTCTTCGAAGCATCACTCATGTGTCGTGAGACAACCGAGTAAGCATTGTTTTCGTTAGGAAATGAGTACCAGGTAGGGATGGCAAATCGATAGATGACGTAGTGAAACTCCATCAGTTGAGGTGGTTGGGGCGTGTTACGTATGCCCAACCACCGACTGCCTCGAATATAAGCCCAACTGTCTCTGACACAGAAAAAGCAAAGAACAATAGCATTTGTTGAGTTTTATATTCTCAGTAGTTTGACAAAATATTAATTTTAATCATAATAATAACTGACAAGAGGGCAAGCAAAAAAATAGTGCCATAATGCACACACACACAACGCACATACATTACACGAGTTGATGCGGTACAATCAAAGTTCAAAAGTCGCGCAAGTTCAAATTAGAATTGGAAAAAACAGCAAACACGAAACAAAACACCAACAAGAAAACTTAAAGATACAATTCAAGGTTAAAGTTAGTTTATTGATTTATTTTTTTAAAAGTAGTAATGAAATTAGTAGTATGAGTAGTTCATACAAAAAAAAGTGAAAATAACTTATTGATCATTTAATCTTTAAAAGTTAATTTATCAACAACATAACAAACACTGAAATCACAAATGTATATAATAGTCAATAATTAATTGAACATAATCATTTTTTTTTAAAATTAACCTTGATTATGTTGTAATTCTTTTAAAATTCTTAAAATATACATGAATAAATTTAATATATCCAAGTATAAATCAATACATGCCATAATATATTCTTCCGGTGAACAATGATGCATTATTCGCCAAGTATCATAGACTATGAATAAACTGAATAGACCAGCACCACCAATTGCTATGCATAACTCTAATAATGATGAACCTAGAAATAACTGTATGTATGTATGTATGTATGTATGTAAGTGAATTGTTTGAACACAAAATAGAAAAAAATAAAAGTAAGGACAAAAAATATTTGGTCAGTGGTATTACAGAAAAACAAAATTATCGATTAAAATCATCAATGGTCAAACGGATCCAGGGTGGGGACGGTGGGGTTCATTCCATGTGGAACTTCATTATCGAGATGTAACTAAACTTATTCACATTCAAGTGTTTTGTTGATATTAGCACCAGGAGGAGTCAGATCTAGTAGCTATTAATTCAAACATCGATGCATTCATTATCTACTAACTCGTCGAGCTTTGTTTTGTAGTGTAGGAATAGGTTGGAAGAAAGCTAGGGGCGGCCAGACCAAAACATGGCAGAAATCCATGAAGTCATTGACGAGTGGACTTAGCCATGTCGGTAATTGTCGACTACCTGGTTGGGGTCCGCGAGATGATAATAATCGATGGTTAGAGACCTTGAATGACATGGCTCAAAATCGTTCGCCATGGCGCCGGTGCATTTATTCTTTGTGTTCTCTCAAATCCTAATCTTCTGAGTTCTTCAACACCTCTAGTTTTTACTTTCTAAACTTATCTCATTGAATCATACTTCGTGAATAATATCTTCTAATTCTAACCTCTCCGATTACTTCTAATACCTTTACTACCTCTTCTACTATTGGATTTGAATTGACAATTATATCTCCGTGCTGATGTGGTATGGCGACATGAACTGATGTACTTACGTACGAAGTTCTACGTTGCAACTGACTGACTCTACTAACTAAGTTAGTGATTTCGAACAGCAACCAATACTTTGTTTTTAGATCATTTTATTAATAAATAAACATTTAAATTATTTTGTTGTTGATATATAGAACTGAGAGTGATATGCATTCGTCCTTTAGGACATTTCTGATGGTTATCTGTTAGTGGGACAAAGATTGGATTAAAGCAGGTTCCATACACGATTGTGTTGTTGCACGCTGATTGGCTCTTTCGTGTCCAATCAGCGCTATTCGATACTGGGGAAACATTCTAGAATCTTCTCACGTAAGAAACTATGAATATACCAACGTTTTGGACTTCTCTAACTCCCACCTAACCTTGTTATTCGAATATAATCTATTTTCCTGTTCAACCGTGTTCTGATTTTGGGAGAACGTGTCGAGTCACTTGGTGTCCGAGAATACTAAGCATTATGAATAGCTGGGTTGTAATAAAGTGAGAGAATTATAACAGTTATCAATTGGTCATCTCACTTGGCCATTATTTCTGACTGATATAATTTTAGTCAAAAATATAAATAATGAGCTAATTCTAACATTAATTAGTAATGTCAACAACTATCCATGTTATTGTAACTCCGCATGTAGACCCTCCGGGGCTATTGCCGGGGGTTGGCGACCCCACCCCGCAAAAAACTAACTCGCCAACACAACGCTTACAAGTAAGAATAATTCAAGCCATATAAACCCTGATCTGGGAGTTAGAAGATCTTCAGTTAGAAGAATTATGACGTCTCATGATGAAATCAGAGTTCCTTTGGAACTCGTGAGGCCGATGCCCCTTCTGACAATCAGAACCCTTCCACGGTATGGGCAGCTGGGAAGTAATATCCACCCACATACCCATAAAAGCACACGAGACCGAATCGGTCAGAATCAAATCCATGTTATCGTCATAACATAAATATAACTGAATTGATTCCAAAATTTCAACAAATACTCATTTTGAAAAATTAATTTGCATTGAGAAGCTCTACGCAACTGTTTTCTAATTCCTCTAAGAAAACAAATCAAAAATTAAGTGGAGTATAATTTTATACTGATTAGTCATAGAACAAACAGAGTAGCAAGTGTTGTGTTTGCTTGTTGTTTAGTTCTCATCAAATCTATCAAGCTGCAGTGTGGTCACTACTATAAGTGACTCAACATTATAATGTGTATTGTTCTACTGTCAGGTGTTAGTAGAAAGGAAACTCTGAACCTAGGTTTTAAACTAATTGATACTCATCCATAAGACGTATTTCCAAGGTTGAAGGGACTTGCGCCTTGTATAGGATTCAAAACCGCGTCACATAGCTTGACAGTTTGAGATGTTACCGATGAGCTGTTTGAGTTATGGATAACCTACTGTAGGATTGAGTGAATATATCCTGACAATCAATAGTTCTGGATTCTAATCAACATGAAATCAATCTTAATACTGATAAATAACTGATCTGATGATAGAATTTTAAGGGATTTTCTACTTAAAGAGTGTTACATAAAATCTGAGATACCTTAGTGAATAAAACATTGATCTTACAACCGATAAATCCTTTCAGCTATTTCAGTTTGACCATTTAAGGTGAAATCACTACTCCACATGCATACAAAGTGGCTGAAAGTTGAATAACTAAACATTATATGTGAAAACTAAGTTAGATCTAGAAACAACCAATTACCAGATTACAGTTGTTCCCCACATGAAAAACTAGCATAGTAAACATATCACCTTACAGATGATACTTATATCTAATATTATTAGCTGAGGCAAGTTTTCTTTTTTTATGGAAAGGAGTTTCGCTTACAAGCCGACGTCGTCTAGAAAAAAATAAGCTTGATAGCATGTTCATGACTGTCAGTGTAAAGGAGTTCTATAGATGATGTTCAATTTTTATGATTCCAGCCATCTGACAACGTAGGGACTGAATATAACAAATAAATATTTCAATGATATCCATTCACTTACATTAATTGGTCCAGCCAATAAGAGAATCAGAAAGGCAACTGATAATCCTACACCCAATTTACTGAAATCTTTCTTTGAATTCAATGTGTACATCATTAAGGACAAGACAACTATGGTAGTTAATATAAATGCTTCAAGTACAACCGTTGCAGAATATGTGATCACTTGAAGAATGAACAATAAAGAAAGGAGACAATTAAAAAGTACACTACTGACGATAATATTAATAACAGTAGGCTAATGATCGTTTTAATTAATGCTCATTACTTGAATACAATATGAGATTTTCAGAGTAACATAAATTAATCGATAATAATAACAAAAAATTCCCACAAAACTAGAAATAAACAGTTGAAATGATTTGTGTGACAGCTTTAATAAAGCTATAGGTAATCTATATATATAGAATCAGTCCATGAAGACGCTAGCGTCACTGCATGATGTCAAGTAGGTTGGTGTGTAGATAGATTATATGGTTTGGATCCATAACTGATTACTGTTGGGGACGTTAGATCCTCAGAACTCACTTGGAAAAGGTCCTAATTTTGGACTTTTTATGTTTTCGCGCAGAAGCTGCTTAGTTGACCTTCAGCTTACATTTCCCACTCGGAAAATCCGTGACTACTATTGGTTGACGGATTTTTTTAGTACGCTATTTAGAGGCTCTCACAAGGCCGCTTCTATCAAACTTGATTTGTGTGCTTAGCAATCTCGTATTTTCTGGGTGCTTGTAGAATATACTTTCTACACCTTATCAAGAATTCTTGCTCTAGTTAGCAGGGCCTGGGACAATGGAATCAGAATAGCCTATCATGTAACTGGATCATTTGTCTTCGCTCCGTTTACTGAGTAAGGTGAACTCGTAATAGCATTCAAACATATCAATTGACGAGCATAACAGTTAGCGAATATCGGTGACATAGATCCAAGTTGTCTGCAATGGAGTAGATATATTTACCCTTTGTCTTCGCTTTAGATCCTGAGTTCGCTTGGTAAGTCTTTTTTATTCCGTTAGTTTATATTTTCTTGAGTCGTATCTCCATTGTCCAAAAAAATTTCATCTCGCCTCTTGCATTGATGTAGACATGTGCTGTATATTTGACTGATTGATACATTAATTAAACAACAGTTGTAGAAAACTACTAACTTTAGTAAGCAGTATTTATTAAACGAGTTTTCAAAAAAACTATACGACTATAGGAAGATATTTTTGACAGTTATGTGTGACAAATTCCCCATTCATTTTATACAAAGATATTTTTGGTGAAATCGTATTATCACAACTGAGTGATTGAACTGTGAAACAACATCATCAACACAAACTTCTATCTGCAGTTGATGATAGGTTGGGCAAGTGAATGAAATATCATGTACTTATGTAAAAACAAGACAACTGACATAGCGACCCACGTTCAAACAACAGACAGGAAATTATAAACGAAGAACAATACTGGACGAAGTCAACATTGCAACCTACATGGTGTTATCTAGTCCAAGGACGATAAATACATTAAATATGCATGATTTGTGTAAATTTATTGTATATGATCTCACTAACTAGAGCTTTCTAGTCATTTCTCAATCTTTTAACTCGCCCAAATGATAAATATAAAAAGCATAAGTATCTTTTAGCTGAAACAAACGTTGGAGGATAGTAGCAGTCTGTACTGATGATGTCCTTACTAAACTTATTCTTCGATCGTTTGAATGACACAACATTTCCAGATGTTCTGAATGATTCACATGAGTACTACAAGAGAATGAAACAAACTACATGACTTGATACCTCTATTGTCAAGAGCAATTTTGACATTTATTTTCAGGATAACTAGGGAGACTGCCAATGTGTTAGCATTTCAACATGAACAGTTCGTCTCGATCCCTGTGGTGCAACCACACACAGGTAACTGACATCCTGATGGACCAGACTTAACAAATTGCTGACTAAAATTCAAATCAATTAAACATAGAGAGGAGACCTATTCAATGCCTATTGAGTATTTTTTCTGGGGAAAAATCAAATAAATTACTTAATAATCAATTAATTAATTAAGCAATTATGAATAGAAATAACTCAAATCAAACTTTTTCTACATTACCTGCATATCCTACAAGGATAGATTCACAGAGAGTCTAAAAATTGAAGAATTGATTGTGTTATTGATTATGATCAATTATTAAACAGTCACAAACTTACAAATAAATATAATAATATAAAATTAACTGGTGTTTCTTGTCTTTTCCACATTAATCCTAAGAGAATACCAATTGTACTGATAAATAATAGAATCGGAAACCATATACTATAATACAGGAAAGAAAAGAGAAAAAACATTGAAAAAATAATTAGTTACAATTATTGATTATTTTTTCAGCATAGAGTTAAGAAGAATGTTGATTTATATTGAAATTGTGAATCAATCATTAGTGGACGGCTGTCAAGTCCTAGTATGGGACTCTTCAGAAGTGCGCATTAACGATTCTTGCTCGTGGGAATCGAACCAACGACATTCGGTCTTGTGTGCGAACGCTTAACCTCTAAACCACTGAGGTGTTAACGTTTAACTTCGATCAATCTAAAGATTTTGCGCAACACCACTCATTGTCTTTGGTAGTTACTGCGTACATCCGACAGGGTTGAAATCCACTAGAACTCCCAGAATTTCCTCAAGAAGCTAGTTACTAATAAGTATACTGTGTGAATATTCACTATAGAGTTATGTATAATAATGTTTTACATTGGAATTGTGAACCAATCATTACTGGACGGCCGTCAAGTCCTAGTATGGGACTCTTCAGAAGTGCACACTAACGATCCCCGCTCGTGGGAATCGAACCAACAACATTCGGTCGTGTGTGCGAACGCTTAACCTCTAGACCACTGAACCGGCATCCAACAGTATTAGAGTCCAACTTCGATCAATCTAAAGATTTTGTGCAACACCACTACTTATTGTCTTCCGGTAGTTACTGCCTACATCCGACAGGGTTGAACTCCACTAGAACTCCCAGAATTTCCTGACGAAGCTAGTCATTAATGAGCACATTGTATAAGTTTTCGCTATCGAGTTACGTAGAATATTGTTTTACATTGAAATCGTGAATCAATCATTGTTAGATCCTGGGTTCGATTAACGCGAGCGTGGATGTGCACTGGTGAAGAGTCCCATACTGGGATGAAACAGCCGTCCAATGCTTCCACATTTCTAATAGTGGTCTAGCAATGATTGATCCACGATTTCAATTATAAAATTATTGAAGAACCATAGAAAGAAAATTACAACATACTTTTGTTGTAGATTATCGATTAGAATTGGTTTTAACATTAACATTGTTCCAGCACATAATGAAGTAAGTAAAAGTTGTGTGAATAGAATTCCGTAGACCTTGCGTAAAAATCCTTAGGTCAAGAAAAAAATTAACAAAAAAGGGAATAACGAATACTTTAAGTCAAAAAAAATAGTGTAATTCCACGTTAAGTATGAATATCAGTCAATCAGTTACAACGTAGAACTTCGTACGTAACTACATCAGTTCAGGTCGCCATACCACATTAGCACAGAGAATATCAAATGAATATCAAACACTAAGATAAACAAAAATAATACACTTTACGTGAAGAAAATATACGATGTATTATTTTTCTAAATGTACATTTATTACCATAAATCTTATAGTTTATGACTGTTAATATTCATCAACTGACTTGGTACGGACATGATACATAGGCTAGTGCACTGTCTACTTCAATGAACGATGTTTGCTAGTACAGAATTTGGTTGTAAGAAAGTTAGTAAAGCCAAATTGAGACAGCGCCAGACCATGAAGTCATTAACTGTTAAGTTTAGGCTTTGTTAGCAGATTCAGACTACATGGTTGGCGTTCATGTGATAACCATGATCAGTGGTTGAAGAAGTTGGATGAGATAATTCAGTATCGTTTATTATAATAGTACAGATGCATAACTTTTATTTTTCTCCAGATCTTGAATTTCGGTATTCCTCCGTTTGCCGACTAGAGGACGAGTATACTGCTTGGTAGTTCACTCAATCCTACTTTATGGCTGTGAAACATGGCAAGTTAGAGTAGAAGATATTCGTAGGTTACTGGTTTTCGATCATCGGTGTCTCCGAAGCATTGCTCATGTATCCTGGGACAACCGAGTAAGCAATGCTATAGTTAGGAAACGGATGCTAGGTAAGGGATGGCAGGTCAATGGATGAAGTATTGAAACTTCATCAGTTGAGATGGTTGGGACATGTGTTGCGTATACTCAACCACCGACTGCCTCAATGAGCTATGTTTTGTGGTGTAGGAGTAGGTTGAAAGAAACCTAGGAGTGGCCAAACAAAAACATGGCACAAATCCATGAAGTCACTGACAACTGGACTGAGTCATGTCGGTAGGTGTCAACTAATTGGTTGGGGCCGGCGAGACGATAGTAATCAGTGGTTAGAGACCCTGAATGACATGGCTCAAAATCGTTTGCAATTTCGCAGATGCATTCATTCTTTGTGTTCTCTCGAATACTAACCTTCGGAGTTCCTTATCATCTTTATCTTTTTCTTTTTAAATTTACCTCACTAGATTATACTTCTTCAATAATATCTTCTAAACCCAATCTCTTCGATTATTGCTAATACCTTTACTACCTCTACTGCTATGAGATTCGAAGTGACAATTGCATCTCTGTGATAATGTGATATGGCAACTTCAACTGATGTACGTACGTACGTACGAAGTTCTACGTTGCTGTTGATTGATTGATTATTCCTTCATACATATCGTTTCGACCTATATTTTCGAACCATATTCCCAATTTTAAGACCGACTTATTATCATTGCTACCGCGCTATGTTACTCTATCTCTACTACTATAAAGATCTGAATGGACAATTCGATCTCACTGTGCTAATGTGGTATGACAACTCGAACTGATGTACGTACGTACGAAATTCTACATTGTAGCTAACTGACTGCACTATTTTGGTCATTCTTTGCTGTTCATCATTTAGTTGTATTAATACAGTATGAAAACAAATACCATCGTACATTTGCATCGAGCTCTTATCTTCACTAATAAATATTCATTTCTGACGAAAACCAACTTTACACGGAACATTAACGGAAAAAAACATCTATGAAAACTATACTCAGACAAATATATCATCATATTCTTTTACAAGTGGATAATTTTTATTCAACTTACTTAATCGAACTGTTACATGTGCATTAGCCACATTATTATTGAAAGCAAAATCTTTTTCAATAGGATGTCCAGATTCTTGATTGAGAAGAAATGAATCCATGTTCATTTAAATACTATCCAAATTGAAATAATCTAGTAAATGAAATGAATGCGGTTAGAATGAAAATAAACTATTCACTAAAAATATTATTTGCCGAAATAAAAGCAGCAAACAGACAAAATATAACAATGTGCAAAACTAACAAGCAATCATTTCAGTTGAAGTTGAATTAATTTAGAATGCAGGGATTGAAACAAATAAACAAGCGTACATACATGAGGAATAAATAGTTGCACAGAATGATATAATAATGTTCAGTCACAGTAAGAGTAAAGTTAGTGATGAAAGCATTACAGCTACTCACTATTAACGTAGAACCTGACATAACTACTATATATCAGCAGTTAGATTGCTGTACTACATTACAAAACAAAAAGGTTAACAAGGTAGGTAAAGAGAAAAGGAAATAATTCTAATTGTAACTAAAATCTGAACATAAGAGACCACTATAAGACACCTGGAAGCGCTGGATGGTCATTTTGTTCTAGCATATGACCCACCAGCAACGCGTGTACACGAACGCTTAACCTCTAAACCACTGAGCCAGCACTCAACTGTGTTACGATCCAACCTCAATCAATCAACAATATTGTGCAACCTTATCCATTGTAACCGGTGGCTCACATCCGACACAATCGGACTCTACTGGTCACGGCTCCTCATTGTAACTCTGAGAATCTCCTCACAAAGGCATGATAATTGTCATTATAGGATTGTTGAGAGTGTTAGGTTCCATTGGAATCATGAATCCAGGGTGTTATGGACGCGCACTGTTGTTGCACCCGTACTAGGACGAAACGGCCGTCTAATGCTGCCAGGTTACTAACGGTGGTTTAACATTGGTCGACTTGTGACTTCAATGAAACTCAACAATCTCCACCACAACTCTATAATAGTAATAATAATAACAGTAATGATAATAATAATAAGAGACAATATTAGAACAAATGGAATTAGAAAATAACATTTATTTAAACATGCAAACATTGTTACAAAGAAGCACCAAAACATTTGTGAGCCAGTCAAACAGAGATAGTAAAGAGATAGAGAAAGGAAGGTGAGTATAACAAAAAAGGAACAAAGAAATAGAAATTAATGTATAAGAGTGGAAGTATTAATGATCAAAAGATTCTTAACCAGAACGAAAATTAGACTGCACTTTGTGGGTCAATGTTTCACAGGTTTCAAACAAGCCATGAAGTGTGACAGTAGCCAATAGTTTGGACACAACCGGAAGTAGACTTATGTCCTGATAGTTAATGCATAGATGATCACAACTCTTTTTAAAAATAGGGACGACTATCGACCCATTCTAGGGAGTTGGAACACTTATTCACAACATTCTGTCGACACCCCAAATAGTTATTTAGCCAGACGGTCGCCACCATCTTCAAAAAGGGTCGGAGGTAAGTCATCTTGCCCTAGTGATTTGTGGTGCCTTAAGAGTTGGGGTTTCTTGCAGATCTTCGCCTCGTTAGGTGGATCGGTCGACGCTGGTAAGATAAGAAAGGACAGTTTTACTGATGTCCTGTTAGTATCACAAATTGTTTCACGAACACCAGACTTATTTCTGCTAGTAGCCCAGATGAGTTGAGTTACTGGCAGTTAAAAGATGCAGTTTCTGCCTCCGACTCGTCACACGCTCTGACCACCAAGTTTATCGGTCCTTACACAAACATTGTACAAGCCGCAAGCGACTTCGCTCACCATCTTTTTGGTATCATGTAAATGCAGCCAGTGCTCATCCATACTTATGGGTCGATAGATAGTCTTGGACCTAGCTTGTTTTGATATTTAGTTACAACAACAGCTGCAACCAATTTATTGACATTGATATGTTTACGAAGATGAATTTTTGGGCGTCTGAAACATAAGATAAGATTAGTGTGAAAAAGAGCATGATCAGAATCCAGATAAGTGCTCTGAATGGAAGGACGTTTTTGTACACAAACGGGTCAGCGGCAGCTGATTGAGATTTTGTCATTCTGAGTCCAAACTTGAGATACAGAGGGAGGACACCAGGTAGCATATCCACGATAACTGTGCTGATAGTTATTGCTAACCACAAACGGTTTCAGTCTACGAAAAATTGCAGTGTAGCTCCTCATTATTTATTCATTATACTAACTTTAATGAGTAGTCGTTTAAATTATTCGATAATTGTATCGATCATTTTTTTATTTGTGATGACTCGATAACAGTATCGATTATTGTATGTGTGTATGCTTACTCGCTTATTACATGTCTAGCCTATTATTGCCTGACTTGAAAAACTTAATCATAGCTTCAGCGCATGAGAGTTGGCTCACTCGCCTTCTCCAATTCGCTTTGTTTTGGTTGTGCGCTTTTCATTGTCATATCTGTATGCTTAAATGAACGTATGAAATAAATTTATCCGCGAGGTCGTATTCGGCTTCTTATAACCACCGTTGCACAAACGGGGTTTGTCTAAGTATAATATACGGAAATAGAAAGGAAAATTCATCTTATCACATACTCGATCATTCGCCCAAACTGAAATCAAGTCACGGGCCAATAAATTGGTGAGCCCTACTTCGAATTTAACACGAGCCACTAAGGCAGTAGATGGCCACTGTTATCTGACCTGTGATTAACAAAACCCGTTGGCCACTCAACTCTTTTTTGACTAGACACCTGACTGTAAATTCAAACCGGCTAGTACTACAATATTTATCGAACATACTTACTGAAGATCACTTAAATGGTGGTAGGATCCATTCTTGACAGCATCCGGGCTACAATCTGTAGCAGTGTAGGCGAATATAACGAAAAGATACTTCTAATACGAATTTCTCACTCTAATGTAGTTTCTGAACCTGAAAGCACATAGTTGACTGTTAATGGTGATCCGATCGACTAACTCTGCCTCAGTTCTAACGACAGATGAAGAGCAAATTTTTAGTACTTCAACACTTTTGAATACTGGTTTCTGATAGACAGAATACATCGATGTTTAAACTTTCTAAAGACATAATCAACCTTATCTCTTGTCTGGTCTGTGTTAGTGTGCGGATGTTGAAGGAAGCCAGTTGGAATGGCAGATATGGTTTCAGAAAGACTCGTTCAGAATTAGTATTCGGCAGTTTATTTATGTATTTAAACACCTAAATGTTGGTACAAGGAAGCTACAAAATATAAATGCGTCACAAACTCATGAATTTGTGTCTGGGCTGGGATACTGCACAGATGCCCGAACAATAGCAAGTGGTTTTCTTGGGAGACCACATCCCGAGTCTTCGACTTACAGATCTAATCCAAAAAGTAGTGAAACCACTATACAAGATGCAGTTCCATGGTAGATAGTGATCGTTTTATTAACATTTACTGTAGAATTGCTATTATTCGAAATTAATTGCGAGTTAATAGATTAAATTAGTTTATACTATTAGCTGATCAGTACATATATTCGGATTTTCAGGATTTTATCTAAAATTTTTGTGCAACTGTCCTTCATGCAATATCAGCATTATTTATTCAAACATAAAAATTGGTACAAAGATATGCCTAGATATTTATGCATCACACGTTGATTTTTTGAGTCGGCTAAGATATTGTTCGGGCGTCCAGGTCGAGGTTAACAGTTCACTTATACGGCCATTTAACGAGATGTAGTTTCATGGCAGCTGGCGACCAACAATAAGTCCACTGGCCATTAATTTCTTCAGGATCCTATGACTTATGGGCACCACTGGTTTGGAACCAGGGTTTTCCAACTCCCATAGCCAGATTCTCCCCACCCACTAACCAGTTTAGGCATTGGATATTCGCCTTTTGTTTCTTAAATTTCACAAACAATATCCCCACAGTAAGCAGGCAGTGAGTAGGACTTCCCTAGTTAAGGATTAGAAAGCGACAATCAAAGAATAGATGAATTCAACGTTTAAGTTGCCATTTTTGATATTTCGTCAATTTTAACGATGTTTTTAAACATATAAACACGTTCTTGAATATATGTGGCAGGCAGAAGTTTGTAAGATTAGTATTTTACTTTAAAAAGGTACTTTTAGTCAACTCATATTTGATAAACCTCGCAGAAACTTCCGATTTTTCCTAGACTACAGTTTAGGATGATCATATCCGTAAATTATATTGCTGAAGTTTGGCTGATATCCGGACGGTAATATTACTGAGTATTTGCAAAAATGAATGAATTTCACGTCAAAATCCAATACTTTATTTCTTAAATCTAATATCTAACATCTTTTTCACCAGCTAGTATAAATCAAATTGATTGCTTTGCGCTCGATTCTTGTTCTTTCGGTACGGTTCCAGGTGTCCGGTAGTGTCCAACGAATGGGGGTCTAGACACTTGACCGCCTAATTCCAGTCAGTCGGCAGTTGGTTGTGAATTTGTATGTCTAGGGATTTGGATGAAAACGTTTGTTTCAGGGCAGTAGGGCTTCTGGATACCAGCAGCTATGACATTACCAGACTGAAGATCAGTTAGTTGCAACTTGGATAATAATAAGAATAACAAGAATAAAATTCTAATGCTAATATGAAGAATATTTCAGAACTAAGTAATATATAGATGGTTTAGTTTAATAATTGGTAGTGAAGATTGTGAGAAAGCCGAAGTGTAAGCACGGGAGAGGATCTAAATGAGTTTGTGCATTAATTATATTGATGCTGACATTGTGAGGAAGTATGTATAAAACGAACCAAAACAGAATGGGTGATAGGCATGCAAAGATAATCTAAAATGACTTACATTATTTTCAGTACCAGACGATGAATGACCTTAACTCAAATTGTTGCAGTATCCAATATCCAATATCTTTATAATGAACTTGTATAAGTAGATTAATTGACTTATTCTTAGTTCTTGTTGTATCTGCATGGTTTCAAACTTTTGGCATTGTTCAGTGGGTGTAATCTACCGATGTACTGGTTTTAGTCGTTTCGGGAGTTGATTGTGGATTCGTACAACTTGTAATCTAAGTGTCTTGTTTCAAGGCTGTAGGGTTTCTGGATACGATTAACTATCATATTATTAGGCATAAAGTTGATTGGTTGCAGTTATAAAATAATTAGGAGGAAAATGGACAGTAACAAAAAGTTAGTTTTAGGAACTAAATAGAGTTACTTAATTAGTAATGAAGACACTGTTAGAGGATCAAAGTGTACGAATGGGATGGTATACAGAGATGATAATGAGCAGAGTAACAGTGGTTCAGAAATGTGTGAAAATAATAACAACCAACAGGTAATGAGACAGGAATAGGATTTAGATAGTTTCAGTTAAAGATAATAATTCGAAGTTGAGAAAGTGGATGTTATCTCTCCTCTTTAAGTTGTCTATCGAGAGGCTTAGGATCACTTTGGCTTGGAAAGCATTTTCAGTTGGTACGATAAGCGTAACAAATAAAGCCATGTACACTATGTTCTAGTATCCAGAACTATTCAGTCCTTACTCAGAGAGCCAACAATCAACTTGTATTTATGTCAGTAGGAACTCTACAAACTTAGTCGAAATTTAGGCATGAATTGAACTGGAGAGGGTAGTCCAGGATAGAGTTGGCTAGAGAAAAACTGGTGGTCGGCCCATGCTCCATTGGGGTAACAGGCGTAAGTAACTAAGTAAGTAATCTTAATGGAATTTTTTGAATCATAAGTAAAATCAT